AAAAAAAAAATCATAACCGCCATCACCACAAGAACAATACAACAACAAAAAAAACAAGAATAAAACACCATATATTAAATTTGTTCTCATTACTTCTAATACCACGAGTTAGTACCGTTCACATTTCTTTTTTAAGTCCAATCTCGGTTTCGTGGCTTAAGAGAAAAAAGTCAAGAGTTTTGCATATATCTTTAAAAGCAATCATAAACTAACTTCTTTGCTCTTACCTCTCTCCAGTTTTTTTTTTTATTTTTCTCTTATAGAAAGTACATTGACCGTTCTCAGTTTTTTGTTACTTTTGTGTTTTTTGACGGTGTTTTATTTTATTCCTTATTTGGAGTTGTGATTTGTAGTTGTAAGAATTGACTGCGTGCTGCGAGCCACACAACACACCTCTCTGTGTACTCGTAAACACATGAAATATTGGGAGTAAAATAAATGGAAGAGTTGGTGTGAAATATATGCGTGTGTGTATGTACGTATATATATATATATATATATGAATGTGTGTTTGCGTGTGTAAAAGATAGATAGAGTGTGGAACGCATAGAAAGTAAAGGAACAAACAAGAAAGAAAGGATTAAAAACAAACAAACATCACTACATAAAGAAAAAACAAAAAAAAAAAAAACACAACAGCAAAAAAAAGATAAAAGGGGAAGGGACGCACATCTCATGGGAGGCGATTATCATTCCACCGATTTTTCTTCACACACGCTTATACATACATATATACACACACAGATACAAACACAGACAAACATACCCTCTTTCTCACTCTATTACTCACGAACAAAGATAAAAAAAAAACAAAAAAAAACATATCTGCCCATATTCTAACAAAAATACGGACACATACACGCCCCGTATGATAAAAAAAAAAATTCTTGTACAACCCCTCTTTAGGCTTACAAATATTTATCTATTCCCTACTCGCTGACTCACTCAAAAACACAAAAATGAGCGACATCATTTACCTGATAATAATAAAAAAAAGAAAAACATGTACTAGGACATCCTAACCTTATAGACATAAATATATATATATATATATATATATATATAGTTTATTGTAGTCCGTACCGTTTCGCCCAGGAATAAGAAAAAAGGAAATAGAGAAATAAGGAAAAGCAAAAAAAAAGAGCTTTTTTTCCTCTTTGACAAAAAAAAAAAGAAGGAAAAATATAAAGAAAACGGTGCGTCAAGCCACGAAGGGGGGGGGGAAAAAAAACACAAAGACACATAGTTTGACACATATACAAAGTACAATTGATATAAAGAATAGAAATACATATATATGTGCCGATTTCTACATATATATATATCTAATCGAAAACAGGGGAAATAAAGAAAATAATCATACAAAGAAAAAAAAAAAAAACGCAAGCAACAAAACCAGTCAAGTGCCTCTCTATTCTTAAGGGTCGGAGGAAAAAAAAAAAGCATTTTCACTTCTTACTTTCTTGATTCACCTTCACACTTACTCTCTGCTACCCCCTTATATATTTCCATTTGGGCGTGGTATTCATGGATACACAAAAATATATATACAGAGGGAGAGAAAAATATAGTGTGTACCTGTTTTTTTTCTTCAACAATTATTCTTTTTCTTTCCTTTTTCCCAATTGCAGGGAAAAACAGGCGCTTTGTGAGGGAAGAAGAAGATCCAATGAAAATACAACGTGCACATGAAACCCCCACTGGCTCCCTTTTCGTCAATGTGATGAGAGGCCATGCAATAGCAAACGGCGAAGGGGCTTGAGATAGAGTGAGTGCACAAAATAATAATAATAATAATAATAATAATAATAATAATAATAATAATAATAATAATAATAAAAATAACATAATAGGAGTAAACGTATTAGCGAAGAAGTGAAGAGGTAGAGGGGTGTGTGGAAAAAGAGAGGGGAGAAATAATAAAAAAAAAAACAAAAACAAAGGAAAAAAAAGCTTTTTTTTTTTTTTATTTGTTATCCTTCCGTTTATCTTCTTCTATTTATTTACCTATTTTTATTTTATTATTCTTTTTTTCTTTTTCTTTCTTTTACTCTTCAATGGGCTTACGTGGGTTAAACTGAATGTGCACCTCTGCGGCGACATCCTCCATCACATCCAGCGCAAACTGCAGATCCTCGCGGGTGTGAGCGGCGGAGACGCAAAAGCGCACGCGTCCCTCCAGCAGCGGCGTGGCCGGATATCCGACAATCACAACAGCGAGTCCCCGCCGCATGCACTCCCTCGCCACCATCATTAACTTGCAGGGATGATACAACATCACGGGAACCACCGGAGAGGCATCGTTGCCAAGGACAGTGAATCCACGGGCAATGAGACCTTGTCGGAAGAAGCGGGAATTCTCTTTAAGTTGTTGAATGCGTTTACATCCCAAGTCTGTGCCATCAAGACCTTTAATTACATCCAAAGCAGAAAGGGCCTGTTGGGTGCATGGTGGGGCAAGTGTATCGCAGTGAAGGGAGATGGAGCTGTGTGTGCGAAGATAATCAATCACACTCTGATCACCAGATATGTAACCACCAATAGAACCAAAGCTTTTGGTGAAAGTACCCATGAGAATATCCACATCCTTTGTGTCAACACCACAGTGCTCTGTAACTCCACGTCCTGTACGGCCAATAGCGCCAATGGAGTGTGCTTCATCCACAAAGAGCAGTGCACCGTATTTCTTCTTAAGAGCTACAACACGTGCAAGATCGACAATTTCTCCTTCCATGCTGTATACACCTTCAACAATAATAACAATACGTGCCCATGGGATGTACTCATCTTCTTTTGTACTCCTTCCAAGAACAACAGCTTCACGTAGTAGTGTCTCTAGCTGCTCAAAGTTATCATGCTTAAAGACTTTTACTTTTGCACCAGATACACGCACACCATTTACCAGTGATGAGTGATTCAAACTATCTGATATAACAAGTGAGTCATTACCGAAGAGAGCTGGAAGTCCACGAAAATTTGTGCCAAATCCCATACCACACACAATAGCATCATCCTTGTTAAGGAACTCTGCAATACCACGCTCAAGCTCTGACAAAGGTCCATGTTGTCCGGCTTGCTGAGGGGCACTGCAGGAGGCAATACCATAGCGATCAAGAGAATCAATAACCTGATGTGTGATACTCTCAGTATCCTCAGCAAATCCAAGGTAGTTGTATGAAGAAAGATTCACACAAGGGATAATGTTACCTGTGAGAGGTAAGGTGAGGTTATTATCATGTGACACACGTTCCATAACTCCAATGACACGTGAAGGGCGGGAATCAATTGGATGGTTAAAACAGTCACGGAGACGACGGTAGAAATGACGCTGCCAAAGATCATCAAAGTCTTTCGTAAGTGGTGCGTAGTCTTCATTACCTTTGGCTTTAGAATACTTCTTACGGTACCATTCGCGAACCTGGGAGAATATGAAAAGGACGCCAAACGTCAGATATGTTGTCAACACAACCACCAGTGAAATACCCTTTGATTGCGGTTCTTCCTCTTGTTTCTGTTGTTGTTCCTTCTGCTGCTGTTTCTGGGATTGTGTAGATAAAGCACTGCTTTCCTTTTCACCTTCCTTAACCTTCTCCTGTAGTGAAATATACGGTGGCACAGGCTCCTTCTTATTGGAGGCCTCCACGGAAAACCCTAACAGTGCTTCACATTTAGTGGCGATTAATTCCGGGCTCCCACGTGAGTCCACAACATCTTCAGACGTAATATAAGTAGGCATGTTTAATACCCAATATATACAACAGAATTGATTTGTTGATAATATTCCTTTTTTTTTTTTTTTTGTACAGCCTTACTGTGCTATCTTTTTTTTTTTCTCCCTTTATTGTCCTATTTGTTGTGGTGGGTTTGAACCTAGGTGCACCTCAAGAGTGTCTATCCCGCAGACGTATCCTAATTGCTCTTTTTGTTCCCATTATTCATTCAATAATTGGGATAAAGGAAAAAAGCGCAAAAAATAGAGAGAAAAAAAAAGAAAAGAGCATCAATAATTTTATTTTATTATTTTCCAACAAAACACACACACACACAAAAAAAAAAAAAAACAAGCAAGAGCTACATAGTCAAACAACACCATAAGACATTAATCAAACACAGAGTAGAGTAAAAAAGGAGAGAGAGAGAGAAATAATATTAAAAAAAAAAAAAAATGAGCCAATGGGAAATAAATACTTTGAATGTCGTGTGAGAGAGCTACATGCACATATGCATGTGTGTTTGTAAGTGACTATTATCCTACACTCGAACGGTTCCGTGAAGCTGCTGCATGTGCAGCTGCTAATGCACTGAAATTTGTATCTGATTGCCACCAGGAATTCAAACGATCATACGACCATCGAATGAACATATCATCCACACAGCCACAGTAACCCTTTGGCCGACCTGAGTGACAATGACAGGGAATCGGTTCTACCTTTTTTTCCATTACCTCTTTCTCTTTAATATCCTTAACCTCCTTTTTTTCTTCTTCTTTTTCTTTCTCTTCTACCTCTTCTTGTTCTTGTTCTTTTTCTTCCTGTTTTTGCACCTCACTTGGTGGTAAAGTTGGACGAGGGTGTAGTGCGGGATTTGGCAACGTCACGTCCTCGTGTTCTGCAGGGGCATCCAGCAGTAAATTCACAAAGTTCCCAATACAACGTGGTGCGCCTTTAGACAAGAGCCATTGCACAACTTCCGCATCTTCAAGTGCCACAGCGGCGTGAAGTGGTGTACGACCCCAGCGATCATACACATGTACACTGCCGCCAAAGTGATGTAGCAGCGACATCACTTCCAATTTACCTGAAATAACAGAGATAAACATTGGACTGTATCCATGCTGCATCTGGTTTACGGTCACCTCGGGATCACTCATAAAACTCATGTTATTTGGGTTTGCCCCAAGTTCTAGGCAACGACGAGTGAGATCCATGTTGCCAGTCACAACACCCAACATAAGAAACGTTGCCCCACGGCAGGTTGCATCTTCTTTTTTGGTGCAAAGCTCCGGGCAGTGTTCTTCCAAAAACCTTCCAATGGACTTTACAGACTCCGCAATACTGTTCTGAATACTAGCCGCGTTTGTCCCACCACTGATACTCCCATTGCTGCTACTAGCCAACCTATTGAGATTTTCCTCAGCGGCCGTTGCGTCTGCTTCACTTAGCTTGATGTCACCCGTGCGAAGGCAACTAAACGTACTCCATGGAATGGGCGGTGAAGTACAGAACGACCGGAGTAAATGCGGATCTGCGCGATCCTCGTCTGTGATACCAAATACACTGTTATGTCCAATCCCACCGTGGGCGAGCTCGATGCTTCCCCATCTGTATGCTTTGCCATCTAAAGTTTCTTGCAGCTCATCTGCTGTCACCACCTTTTGGGACCGCGACATACACGGTTATGGCTACCTATATATATATATGTATATATATATATATTCCCTTATATTCCCCGTTTTTTTTTTTTTTACCTTTCTCTCTCCGTTTCTGTTTTTTTTTTTTTTTTGCCACTTGGTTTTTGTTCGCCTTCTAAAAGGTGATTTTCACGCAGATTCACTTCATGAAATATTACACATTTTTTTTTTTTTTACATTTAATATAATCGATAAATAAAATAAAGCCACAGGAATTAGAAAACAAAACGCTAATGGAAAACACCAGAAACCGCAACCATAATAATAATAATAGCAATATTATGAAGTGCAACTAACAATAAGAAATACAAGGTACAATTACAGCAACACGTCAACTATATGACAGAGTAAGATAATCGTATTTTGATCACATTCGAGCAGAGAGACATAAGGAGGTCTTTTTTATTTTTCTTCCCATGTGTAAAAGGGAAGTCAATACAAAAATAAAATAAAAACATCAATACACAACAAAAAGAAGAAGAAAAAAAAAAGAGGAAAACAAATCAACCACCTACAGACCAATACCATTTGTCGAAGTAGTAGTAGTAGTAGTAGTAGTCATACCAGGCGTAGTAGTGGCGCTAATAGAAGTTGTAGTAGCAGTGGCGGCAACATCACCGGTGGGCTGCTCTCCATTCTCCACAGCAGCAGTACTAGTCCCAACATTACCGTTACTCCCTCTCACATTCATATTTTCCGATCGACGTTGAATTTCATTCTTAAGTTCCCCATAGCGCGTGTACTCTCGAGTAAATGCGCGTCTGTCATTTTTAGTGGGTGCATGGCCATTCTGCTGTTCAAATTCACTTTCAAAATGATGCAAAATACGTTTCAGGTATCGTTTTTCTGTCGCGAGGTCCTCATTCGACATCTGACTCACTGGGGCACCTCGAGTTTGCGATGAAGAAGTTGATGAAGGTCGGACTCCATTAGCAGATGATGTCACTGTCGCAGGTGCTGTAAATCCTGCACTTCCCCCAGTCTCGTGCTGGTTAGCAGAGAAGGAATTCAATTGCAACCCCCCTGATGTCGCCTCTCCCCTGCGATCCCCTGTACTTCCATTGTACATTCCATGTAGAGGTTGTTGTGGTTGTTGTTGCTGTTGTTGTTCTCCTCCTCCTCTTCTTCCTTGTTGTTGTTGTTGTTGTGGGTGATATTGTTGCTCTTGTGATGCGTCGCGATCTGTAACGGGTTGCTCTGAGCTGCCGTTGCGTGGAGACTCCGTATCCCGTAGACGATTCTTTGCTGCCTTATATAGTTCATATACATGCCGCAATGCGGCCTTATCATGTGCAGTAACGGCAACGCCGTGCTCATCCCGGAAGGCGCGTTCCCACTCATGTATGCGTTGCTTCATTTCCTTCTTGAATGCTTGGCACTGACTATGTGTCATGTGTCCCGTAACAACGACCGTGGGATCGACATTATTGTTGTTGTTATTATTATTGACATTGTTGCTATTGCGGTTCTCCTTTGCCATCTCTAGTGCTGCTGCCTCGCCACGGTACGTTGCTGCAAGTTGTGCGGCGAGTGCATTACATGAAAGGGGCCGCGGACCGTAGGCGTTATCAATGCGCCCGCGTTGTTCCCGCTGCAGCGATCTCACAGAGTCAATAGTAGCACGGCTGTGGGCGCGGAAGTCTTCATCGATAACGTGGCTCTGTGTAAAGCTCAGTGCATCAACGGTCTGCGCTACCGACTGCAGCAGCAATGCGTTTGCGTCTGCCCGCATATCGTGTTAGTCTCGTTCTGTGTGTTTATGTCTAACAACAACACGGGGTGTATACAAGAGAGAAAGACTTGGTAGACACGTCGTACGTAATGTAACTACTAGCTCTATCAACGCACAGATAGAGATAGATAGTTAAATAAATAAATAAAAAGAGGGAAAGAAATAAATACGGTAATCTACTCACCTCTACGATATTATCGGTTTTCTTTCAAATCTCGCAAATATTCTAACACTTGCGTCCCAACAACGTCCTTCTCAGTTTCTTTTCCTATTTGTGGGTAAACAGTTATTTTGATTTTGTGAGCACTCCCTCCCTTGTTTTCGGTCTTCTATAAATATATATATATTTTTTATTTCTTTTATTTCTACAGCTATACGGTGAAGAATTTGTAAAATGCACACAAATTACAACCTTGATATGAATGGTGCGCAAATATACTTCTTACCTGTATTGCAAATGCGCTTTCTATCTACACGGCGCCGCAACCAGCAACCGTTTTACGAGCGAAAAACACACACAACAAGCCAGAGTAATGTTATATACACTTCCTCCTATACGGGCCCTACAAAGAAAACAATAATGATAAAAAAAAGAGGAAAAAGAAAGAAAGAAAAAAAAAACTGAAACCCCAAATCCATCTCCAACCCAAGAAAAAATAAAGAAAAATAGCAATCGACAATCCCAGAGTAGAAAAGATACTATTACACACAATGTCAACAAGAGTTATTTGTAGGTTTATTTATACACCTTGCGCATTGCACGCGACACACGATCAGACAGAAACAAACACTCACCTCAATTCTAAATGTGATACCTAAAGATCAAGTAAACCAACAACAACAACAACAACAACAACAACAACAACAACAACCAAAAAAAATAATCATAAATGCACTCCTCCTCACCTACGCATTTATCATCCCTTTTTTTTTCCTTTCTCCCTTTCCTCTCATTACACACCACCACAGAAATCAAACACAAACATACACAAAAACTTGTTTGTGTGTTTCTCTCTTCCCCTATATAGATATATGAAACGGAAAAAAAGGCAAGATAACTTCATTGTAGTCTTAACTGGGGGTCCATTTCCACTTCATACACCAATAACACACAACACATCATAAGCATCACGTAGTTTTAACATTACATACGCGCTGATTGAATGGTTGCTTCTGAGAGAGAGGCGAATGAAACGTTAGAGTGCGCCATACATTTCAATAGTGGTGATGGACGAAGATGTGAACCATGCCACTCTGCCAAGTCCTCCATTGTTTGCACCATAGCCCGAATACCCTTTGCGTCCGCCAAAGCCAATGCACCACCTGTGGTTTCGCGAAACCCGATGGCAGCAATTGTCAGCATGTTTGCATCTTGGGCACATTGAATACGTTCGGTAAGCAGCATCTCACAGCACTCATTTACAATAACTGCTAACAATATATCTGCTATCTCTGCATCGGTGAGACGACGTCGCAAATACTGTTCCTGCACCTCTGAGTTGGGTCCAATAGGGGTCCCATCCTTGCGGTAGGTGTAAAAACCCCCGCGACGTGCTTGTGCGCCTAGAAACCCATCTGTGCTCATGTACTGCAGTGTGTGTTGTGCGATGGCGGGAATGTTATCACGCAGCAGTGGGTTTCCTTCTACATTCATTGTGTTTGTCTCCTGCATCATGCGCAGAACGGCGTCGGTACCGCAACTGTCGATAAGACGGAACGGCCCCACGCGCATTCCGAGACGCCGACTGACCGCCACGCCGTCCACCCGCGCGATGCCGCCCGCCCCGCACCCGCTGGCGACACGACACGCAGCGGCGGCGACGGCAGCGACGAGGCGGTGGCCACACGACCCGCGACACGCGACGGCCGGCCGGTGCTCCGACCGCACAAACGCGGCGGCGGCGGCCGTCAATTGGCGACAGCGGTCGGCGGGCGGCGTCTCGCAGGGCCGAGCGAAAAGACGGAGTTCCTGCAGCGGTGCGAAGGGGCCGGCGGGTGACACGACCGCCCCGCACGGCAGAAGCGCCAACAGCGGCAGCGCCCCCGCCGCGGGGCCAACAAAAACAACAGAAACACCACGCAGCGCAGCACGGTGTTCCGACACAAGACGCGTCGTCGCCTCCAGACATCGACGGGAACAATCCAACAGAACCGTGACCGTACCTTTCCCGCTATCGCTGCTATTGTTGTTGTTGCTGTTGTTGTTGTTCTTGCAGTCACCGTCGTCACCGTCATTTACATCACTCGACGCCGATACCACCGCCTTCATTTTCTCAGACCACAGCGGCATCTCCTCACGGCGAAACGTCACAAGTGCACTCCCCGGGAAAGGCATAACCACACGACGCACCATCTTCTTTTCCAAGACGTGTACATTAGCGGCGTTGATAGCAGGAACTGAATACGTCATTTCGCTAAAAATTTTCTCAGAATGAGTCTGTCCCTCTTGTACCTTATTCTCATCATCAACTATCTTTCCCTGGGTGATGGCAGCCATACTATACCGCACCCACGTCTGCAACAGAGGATTTGGACCCGTCACTACCATCGATGTCTCAAAGCTACGTGTAAAGAATAGTTTGCGAAGTAGCAGTGTTTTATGCTCAGGTTTAGAGAAAAGCATGAGTAACTTGCGCTCCAACCACAGAAGGAGAGAAGGAGAGTTCCCTCTTGCTTCTATCGCACCTTCTCCGAAAGATGTGGTGATGGTGGGGGTGGTAGTAGTCAGTATAGACAAAACCTCTTGTACGCTATGAGCACACCTCACAAGTCCAGCATCAATTAAACTGTCCGTACGGTATTCATGCAGTCGTGGTACTAACTCGATAGCACGTTGAGAACCAAAACAATGACCAAGCTGCCTGACTACATGGGCACTGGGGAAATCTCCAAGTTGAAGAGAGGGAAATCCGAACGTCGTTTCACTAGGACCAAGCAAGAAACGGTGATGACAAGTTAAGAATAACTCTGCCCCGAAATCTCCAACAACGCCCACATATGCAACAGAAATAAAACACAAACGTTGTGGTGTACTTGCCAGACGTGTTAAGAGTCGTTCCTTTTCTCGAAGGAACTCCACTCGTTCAGCACACGAGAGTTCCAACGATCCCTGTTTTGCCTCAAAAAAGTTTAGGGTGGGAAGTGTAGTAAGCAAAACGTATGTAACGGAGTCGTCCATCTCGTGGTAACCTTCCTCAACAGCTGTAATAGCTTGATGCAAAGCTTTCACTACCGACATAATACACGTAGGCTGCTTCTGTAAAATAATTGTAGCTATTCGTTTCCCATCCTTTTTATCAAAAGACACCTTCACACATGGCTCTTGGTCATCGTTATTTGATTCCAAAGCTGTCCATGAAGCCAACGGTGGGAGTTCCACTGATGTTGTGGCTTCTTCAACATCTTCGCACGGGCTGCTTCTTTTACATGATGATGATGATGATGATAATATTTTTTCATCCTGTCGTTCAATAAATGAGGACACAATCTCTTCAAATCTTTTCTCAGATTTTTTATCTGAAAGTGCCTCTTCACTTTTTTTGTTAAATGGCTGTTTCATTTTTTCTTGATCCAAGTCACCTACACGTTCGCTAATAACATCTGGAATTTCATGACGATCAATCATTGCTTCCTCCTCCTGCGGTAATGGTTTCAGCGTACTCTTGTCAAGAGGGACTGAGGTTTCTCCAGAATTACCCGTAGAAACAACGTTCAACCGAATCTTTTCATCTCGGGATTGCACGACCTCAGGTGAGCGTACCAACGGCCGGGACGCACGAGCCCTTTCAATCTCCTCATCCAATGATAGGCCAATACTTTTTGGCCATGTAGCTTCCCCGATGTCGCGTTCTTCTGTCGGAGGCGCAATGGTAAAAAAGATTTCATCCTCTGCATCGTGCGACACACTAGAACCACCAACAATAGGAATACTAGCACTACTTTTCACAGCATGCTGCGGCACCTCGGGTGCACGTGAAGAAGGTGGGGAAACTTTTGGTGGCATAGGTGCAGAAGGTGGTGCAGGCGGGATAGGGGGCGGGGGAATTCGATTAGGAGATGGTGGTGGTGGTGGTGGCGTTTTTGCAGTTAACGGGCTCTTAGAAGGTATAGATGTACCCTGATGGGCAAATACTACTTTCATGTCACCAAGATCATCGATAACATCAGAAAGTGTTACTGTTCTGTCCTTCGCTGCTGAACTCGAAACATTCTTCTTGTTACCAAGTGCAACATTATCACCTCTAACACTTCTTCGACGTTCTTCACGATCTGTATGAGTTCTCTGCCGTTCACGATATATCATTCCTTCTCGTTTTCGATGAACCCCAGCACTTGTCAAACCACTGCCTTTAGTGGATGTAAATTTGGACTGTTCACCCATTGCCGCCTTTGGTGGTTCCGGTGCAACAGGTGCTGCCTTTGGTGGT